GAGCAAGGCCGGCTTTGCCATCTCCAGATGGTAGTGGACGGCGTTAAGGTTTGAATGAAGTCCCCTGATATTGCAGAAACTCACGGAAAGCATGGCAGGGGCGGCCTTTGTCTTCTTGCTCCGCTTGCCCTGACCAGGTTTCGTCTTGAGCGGAATTTCGCCCCCCTCCCCAGAATACGCTCAAAAAAGTAGGGTAGTTTGAGCGTGGATGCCCAGCGAGGGATTCTCCATTGATGCTGGTACCCTCCTGGGGTAGTGTTCCTTTTAATTCCACTACCATGTTGATGGGGGGGGGGGGATTGGGCCTCCGGCCACCTGCATTCACCAGGCGAAATGCAGTAGTAAACTTCTACTTCACGCTGGTATTCTGTGAGTTCGTGGTACCACCCCGGTTCGAGCTGGCCCATCCGTGCGACAGCAAAAGCTGCCACGTGGCTCTACTACTATTAAAAATCTTAAAATGCTACAACTTACCACTTTTTTCGTCTTACCTAATATCTAAAACCCATAAAAAAACACAAAATTCAATTACTTACTTGCTTAAAACAACAATGAATTTACAAAAGTTTGACATCAATTATGACAATTAACTGATGGAAAACAATTCAAAAACGTATACCTAGAAAAAGACAAGAAATATATTTTTGCGTCTCCCTTACTCTTATGTCTAACTATATACGTGTTTCTTTTCACACACTGACGACACTGAATGTTTAGTCTATGGTCTAAAACCGATGCAGGTACTTGTTATAAAAAATTTTTTTGTAGTTTATTGCCTGGTATCTAGACCTATGGAGTGTAGAGTACAAGGAGGACCATCTCTATATACGAAAAGTGTCCCTAAAAACGCGTCCAATAAGGGTGGCGCTGCAGTAGCATAGGATAAATTTTAAAAAAAGCGCCAAAATTAATTAGATTAATATGGAGAAATAAACAAGGACCGACCAACCCGCTTGGTTTTGTACTACGTAAATAGTTGAGATTTTGTATACTGAAATTTTACTAACTACTCTAATGATGAAATTATTTAAATATTTGAATTCAGCTGACTTCACTCCGTTCACAACAGCTATCTTCATATCGTAGTTTTTCAGACGCCAGCGCTATTGTGGTAGGTTTTGGAACCTCTATTTTCAGTATATAGGGGGACACTTTTTCAACTTTCGCACCTTATAAGATGGTTCTCCTTCTACTCTACACTCCAAATCCAGACCTTTAGGCCAATGTCACAAATTTAGCTTGCTACCAGCATTGCCAACATGTGGGGAACTCCACGAATTGCGGGGAATTTAAAGTTGGTTGGGATTGGTATTTTGCGGGAAAAATGCAGGGATTTTGAAAATCGATAGGCCGGGCCAAATCAAAACATTTTTTTCAAGAAATCTTAATGATTATTGTTATTAGGTTACTTATGGATATCGAATGACCCCCCTTTTTTTAATTAACTTCATTGCAACACATTTAATTTTCAGATTTATTTCAGCAAATTTCGTGTATCATTTAATGCTTTTCATTTCTTTATTTTTTAATTTTTATGCATATAAATGGAGTTACTGGGGTACTTTTTAATGGCAACAAGGGAAGGAATTAAAAATATTCTATAGAGTTAGATGAATGTTACAAAAATATGGAAAATATAAAAAAAGTCGGTAAAAGGAAAAAAAATGTTAGTTAAAAAATAAATCTTATAAAATTAGTTGAAATATTTTTCATTTCCTAAAATAAAATTGAGGGGAATTTGTAGCGAATCTGTTGAAGTTGTGTCCCTTGATTTGGGAATTTGACACGGATTTTCTAGGAATTTAACAAATTCTTGTTGGCAACGCTGCTTGCTTCATATCACATATTTAGAGTTTTTGGCGGGAAATTGACCGGCGGCGGTTTGCTGCTCCTGTATTATTGTTTAAATAATGGTTTGAAGTGGACTTTGATATGTAAAAGTGTTGCGATTTTGTGTATTAAGTGTCTACGCATGTGAACTATTAGTGGAAACAGTGAAACAAGTGCTCTGATGGTGATGGATTCTCAAGATAAGCTGTTTGTTTGCATAGGCACCTTTAGATACCATCGCCAACTATCAGCTGTCTGCTGGATCAAGTTGCCGCCAAAATCTCCCAAGAACTGCACAATGTGACGCATCAACATATTGTGAAGCAGTATACTATGAAGGAGTGGGGAAATTACAATAAACCGAATAAAAATACTTAAGACTTGGCCTAAAGGTCTAGATACCAGGCCATAAACTCCAAAAAAAAAATATCACATATTTATTGGCCTAAAGGTCTATATACCAGGTATATACCAGGCCATAAACTCCAAAAAAAATCACATATTTATTTATCTATGCATAAATTATAAAGTTGATGTCCACCACAAACAATTAGGGGAGATCGATGTTGCAGAAACATCGATGATGACATCGATGTTGGCATCTATATCTCAACATCGATGTTCGATGTTTAGCCTATTCAAAACGTCGATGTTGACCATTATCGATGTTTTTGTACATGTGTGTATATTGTTTCATATAATCACAATTATGTGGGTATACACAAGGGCAAGGGAATAGTAACAATTAACTTGAATATCAATTTACGTAGAATAGTTATTATGCGACAACCGACAACGATACAACAAAGTTAAGCGAAAGCAGTGACCACTGTGACATTACAGGTGACACTTAACAATTAAGTATGACACGCCATAATAATATTTCTTTGGGTTAGCGATGCGTTCAGGAATTCTGAATTATTTAAAATTTTAAAGCTTCAGAGGAGATTCAAGATTTAGTTGATATTGATTTCGCGGGTGCTCCCAATGAGCACTAAGCTCGAAGTTGTTGACGAGTATGTTTACCTGGGACAAATAGTCCGACTAGGTAAGTCCAACTTTGACCGAGAGGTCAATCGACGGATTCAACTCGGCTGGGCAGCGTTCGGGAAGCTACGACACATCTTCTCGTCAAACCTGAAAACGAAATTGTACAACCAGTGCGTGTTGCCAGTGATGACTTACGGAACTGAGACGTGGTCCTTCACTGCTGGCCGTATGAAGAAGCTCAAGGTCGCTCAGCGAGCTATGGAGAGGGCTATGCTCGGAGTTTCTCTGCGTGATAAACTTAGGAATGAGGATATCCGCAGTAGAACCGGAGTAACCGACATAGCCCAACGGATTAGTAAGCTGAAGTGGCAGTGGGCCGGCCATATAGCTCGAAGAACCGACAACCGATGGGGAAGAAAGGTTCTAGAGTGGCAGCCTCGTACCGGTAGGCGAAGTGTAGGGCGACCCCCCACGAGATGGAGTGACGTTCTGGTAAGACATGCAGGAAGTCGATGGATGCCGGCGGCTTAGGACCGTGCTTTGTGGCATTCTTTGGGGGAGGCCTATGTTCAGCAGTGGACTTGTGAAGGGCTGTAATGAATGAATGAATAAAAAAAAATTATTTCACGGGTTTGTACTGTTCGCAAGTTCCCAATAATCGATTATGGGTTCATTGACATCTATGATTCTATGATTCTATGATGTCAACATCGATATTAAAACATCGATGTTTTAATTTTTAACATCGATGATCATTGAACATCCCTACAAACAATATAGAAACATGATGTACACCATACTCACCATAGGCACAAACTATATAGCAACACTACGCGTTACCATAGGTAATACACTATTACACGAATACTTGCTTGTTTTATAAATTCATATAATGTATGTCTGAAATAATGCACAATATATAGCATAATTAGTACGACTTTCCATTGACGTCAGTCGAGTTTGGTGTTGATACGTATTTTTACTTAAACATTACAGTTTTATAAGCACACACGCAAAGTTTCAATATGCGGAAACACGTACTTATTGAGAAAAAAATATTGTAAATCAAATAATTTTGCAATATTTAGTCAATTCCTACCGTGAAACTGACGCCATTTTTATTATTATTGTCAGTAGGGATGTCGATTCTTTCCGAAAAAGATCGATTTTTTAAATAGATTCGAATTGTAAGCTGATGTATCGATTCCCAAAAAATCTATTTCTAAAATATCGCTATTTTTTCATGTTTGCATTTATAATGTAAATATAAATCCATTTTATGAGAAAAAATCCCCTTCATCATAAAAACATAAGGGGACTGATTCAGAAGGATTTCTGTATCTATTTTGAGACTGCTACGTCTCCGGCGCTGCGGGAAGAGCAGCCTCTACGCCTTAGCGTAACAAATCGCAAGCATCCCTCCTCGCCTCTGCAGCTTCGGCTCGTCCGATGCCTACGATTTGTTACAGCAGGCGGAGGCTACTCCCCCTACGCGCCTCCGGCTCTATAAATCCACTCTAGGGGTAGGACAGACTCGTACCAGGTGGAGACAGGGTCAATCAATTCGGTTCTTTGACATAAGTTGACCCTAACCTATTTTATTTGTTATATGCCCTAATAGGTACTGTTAAATAAAACAAATTTCAATAAGAGATCATTTCTCATGGTATCTTTCTTGTTTTTCATAAAATGGGTTTATATTTACATTATAAATAGAAACATTAAAAAAATATAGATATTATAGAAATCGATTTTTTGTGAACCGATACATCAGCTTACGATTTGAATCGATTCAAAAATCGACCTTTTTTGGAAAGAATCGACATCCCTATTGACGTCGACAATGACATTACAAAATGGCGCCAGTTTTACAGTAGAATTAGATATAAACATTGCAAGAATAATTGATTTTCAATAATTTTTTTCTCAAAAATTACGCGTTTCCGCATGTTGAACTTTGTGTGTGTGCTTATAATAGTGTAACTTTTCTGTAAAAATACGTATCAACACCCAACTCGACTGACGTCAATGGAAAGCTAAGCCAAAATATATTTGAGCCAAAACAAAATATTTCTCTACTCTTCTTTTCAGATTCTTTAACAATATGAAGCGAGCCAAGACAGATTTAACTAATTTAACGAGATTATAAGTTTGTACAATTTGATAACCCTGTGATAAAGATGAATACTACCACCAAAGATACCATAATCAAAATTGAGGACTCAAAAATTACGAAAGACAGTCAAAAGACAGAAATTAACATATTATGCTTTGATATAACACCGTACAGTCAACTTGTACAGTTTCTATGTTGTTCTGCATTTGTATTTGTATGCTACTTAGCATATGGCTATTTTCTTGAATTAATATTCTCGGGGGCTGAGGTGAAACCTGTCAGTCTTTATATTACATTAGTGCAATTTTTGATTACAATGCTGCTCAGCTACATGGAATCTTTAATAAGAAATCCCATAAAAAGAAAGTAAGTAATATCAATATTATATGTTTATATGGTTTGTATAGAAAATTGATAAGATGTAAACTTGTCGATTTTTATAGTAAGTTTATTAAGAACAAACAAATATTGTTAAACGAGTAGGTGTTGGTGTATCCAAATTACAATAATGAATCTAGTTTCACCAAGTGACAACAATCTTAAGAATAAATTATAATTGATAAAGAGTTTTAAGCAAATTATATTGCAATAAAAATTGTCATCTCTGATTTTCTTTAAATTAGTTAAAATGCCTCACAGCCTGTCATTATGAAATGATCATCAAACTGTCTGTACCCTTTAATCTGGAACATAATGGCTGTTAAGAGTGTGGTGGCTGCTTATTACCCAGTAACCAATATTAATTTATTTAAATTTTTTTAGTCCATATTCATATCATATTAAACTTTTTTATAGGTTTTCACAGCTGTATGTCAGTATTGTGTATTTTGTTTAATGCACATGACCCCTTTTAAGATCTCATTTGGTTATTTGTACCACCTCATTAAAGGAGTAAGAAATATCACATCCACTCAAACGTCCAGGCGACGCAGTGACAATAGCCTTGCACATCCTGGTTTTTATACAGTCCGATCGCGACCAGTTCAACTAAAACCATTACCACGGAGAAAGTTCTTTGCCTATATCAGAATAAAAATTACCCACAGAAACCTAATCAAATGCAGAATTTAATTACGTTAGTAATAATATTTTATTAAAATAAATAATATATAATACAAAAACTTAATGAAAAACTGACACACAAGGCGAAGTTGACTTCATCACATATAAAAACAGTCATTACAGACTGGATTCATAAAACTTATTGATATGCGAAAAGAAAGCATCTTAAGGTTTATTTTCATATATAATACTAGTACAAAAGTATAAGACTGGCTTTTCACTATGGGATATAATATATATTATATCCCGAAATATAAATTATATCCTGCGATTGGCTTTCACACTGGGAGATATATCTTTTAACTATTGTGCATTCGTCATTGGTCATTGGATTACCCCCCTTTACCCCGTACACCGTTCTGCGGGGGCGCGGAACGGTGTGCGGGGTACAGGGGGCGAAATATAACATGAAAATATCGCTTGGTCGATCGAAAAAATATTTATAGCTTGAGATGTAATATATGGCACAAAGCGCTTCATTCGAAGCTCCCTTCCTATGGGCTTCCCGAGAAATTATGCAATTGGATCACCAGCTTTCTTGCAGATCGGAGCATCAAGGTCGTTGTAGACGGTGCATGCTCCAACTATAAGCCTATTAACGCTGGTGTTCCACAAGGCTGTGTGCTATCACCAACGCTGTTTCTTCTGCATATCAATGATATGTTGCAAGCCAGTAGCATTCATTGCTATGCGGATGACAGCACTGGTGATGCTCTATACACCGGCCGTGCCAATATTTCTCGGGAAAACGTCACCGAGTACTGGAACAAACTTGTGTCTGAAGTCGAGTCTTTGCTGGACAAAGTCTCGGATTGGGGGCGACTAAATCTAGTCCAGTTTAATCCTCAGAAGACACAAGTTTGCGCGTTTTCCGCTAAAAAGAACCCCTTTGTCGTATCCTCAGTTTCAAGGTACTCCCCTTGTTGCCTCAGCCAGTATCGGAATCCTCGGAGTATACATATCGAGTGACGTGCAGTTTCGTGGTCACTTGGAAGAGAAGGCCAAATTGGCCTCTAAAAAGCTTGGCATGCTCAGCAGAGCGGGACAGTATTTCATGCCGGCTCAACGCCTGCAACTTTACAAGGCGCAGGTTCGGCCTCACATGGAATACTGTTCCCATCTCTAGGCTGGGGCTCCCCAGTGCCAGCTCCTTCCACTTGACCGCATCCAGCGCAGAGCGGCTCGAATCGTCGACGACAGAGTCCTTTCCGATCGGCTCGACTCATTGGCGCTGCGAAGAGATGTTGCATCTCTTTGCATTTTCTTTCGCATTTACCATAGGGAGTGCTCTGAGGAATTGTTCGGATTAATCCCACCTGCCAAATTTCACGAACGCACATCGCGGCAGAACTCCCGATACCATCCACACCATTTGGATGATTGGCGGTCCACCACTAGGCGATTTAGAAGATGTTTTCGTCCTCGCACAACTTCCTTGTAGAATAGTTTACCACCAGCGATTTTTCCGGACCGATATGACTTAGGGACCTTCAAGAAAAGAGCCTACTCCTTTTTAAAAGGCCGGCAACGCTTCTGCAATTCCCCTGATGTTGCGGTTGTTCATGGGCGGCGGTAGTCACTTACCATCAGGTGAGCCGCATGCTCGTTTGCCCCCTCTCCTATAAAAAAAAAATATATTATAGCTCAGTGTGAACGGTTTTTTTCTATGGTGTCTGTTACCTGGCATAGAAGTTTTACTAACCCATAGATGGGTTTTTAATATAGAGCCATCTAATGTAACATTCATGAAGATTTTTGTAACTTTCCATAGATAAAAAGTCATTTAAAGTGTAAAAATCAGCGAGGACGCTCTAGTCGCCCAAACATTCAACTGGAAAAAGTTTTAGACGACTATGGTCACCCGGACATTTGAATGGATATATAGGCTATATTTATAAACTAGTTCTATAGATAATAAAATATTGCTGAAATAAGAAATGTGTTTGAGTATGTAACATGATTTTTGTTTGAGAGTGTATGAGATTTAACATTAAAAGTTATTTTAAAAATCATTTTTTATACTTTCAGAGTCCCTCTAAGGACCTATGCAATTTTAGCGGCTTTAACCCTGGGCACCATGTCACTGTCTAATCTAGCTTTAAGTTACCTGAATTATCCGACTCAATTAATATTTAAGAGTTGTAAGCTCATACCTGTGATGATAGGCAGTATTATTATTTTGGGAAAGAGATATAGTTTTCTAGACTATTTGGCTGCAGTAATTATGTGCATTGGACTAACAATGTTCACTCTAGGTAAGTTCTTATTAATTTCCATATAAACAATAGATTAAGACATCCCTTCTATATAAAGGTAATCTGATGTTTTTTTATACATTACAATATGCAACAACTTAAACTACAACTTAAACTACAACTTTTATCTATTATTTTAATATGCAATATTAATCTCTCTTACCTGCACAAACCAAAATTCCATAACATTTAATTGGATTGACTTAGGTGTTCATAGTAATAAACATACATACATACACATACACTACCCAAAAAATTATCCTGTGCATGTATAACCTTGTTGAATCTACCACTGTTACGGCCCGCAGCTGCCCCTGCAAAGATCGCCTTGGCTGGGGCCCATAGCAGCCTGCTCGACGGGCAGACGCGGGTCGGGCCCAAATGACCATATGGAAGAATGTCCTATCATACTAAACTAGGGAGAAGGCTAGAAAAATATAGTACGTACCTGTATCCGAAGCTAAGACCGCCCCAAGGCTCGGTCAGGCCGTAGATGGATGTAAGGTGCATGGAAAGTAGTGTTTAGTGATGTGTATGTGGCTGAGGCCTGGCCCAGCTGAGGAGACCGACAGCGGCCGATTTCCATGCTGCCCCACAATGCTGCATCACTCCAGCAGGTTTCCCCGCTGGACCATTTCTTTCTTCATCGCAGAATCTAACACGTGATACCCGACACAGTAACGGACAGTAGTTCAAAGCTCAACATTCAATGTCCCGGATTCATTTATTACCAAATGACGAATAGTGAACTAACGCGATCTCTTGGTAAGTCACACGGTTCAGCGTTACAAACACAACTAAATTCCTTCGTTCGATTTCCAATACTACGCCGCGATAAGAATTCAAAATACGCCTCGTTGATACGTAAAACTAACAAAACAGTCAACACACAAAAAAGGGCACTTAACGCGACGGCACAATTACTTTCAAAGAAGTTACTTTAATCAGTTAAACACAATATAAGCCTCTTGTCAAGAACTTAAACCCTAGACAACCTAAAACGAGGCGGTTTTCACGAAACACAATTACGTAGCGAAGTCACGCGCACAATTTCCCAAATTCTAGACCTTAATTAAAAAAAAACCGGTCTCGCGAAACCTCAGCGGTGGGCATCGAAAGACACCAATTAACTGCCCAGCCGCCGTCGAGCTACTATCTCTCGCCCACGAGCGTCACACGCTGGGAAGCTGCCTACCGCTACCCCCTCCCGCGATGCGCGTGACACCTGGTACCATCGGGCGATTCACGAAGTCGAACGTGATTGGATGTCGTACAAATTACCTTCTTTGGGCCTAAACTACCACTGTTCGTTAAAAATAAGAAATATTTTAATTGAAACAAATTTTTAAGTTGTTTATGGCGTATATTAATTTATTTCATATTCCAGGCATTTCGGTTACAGCACCCATGGTCGCAAGGGTAACTGAGTTGTTCAATGTCTCAATGTCGTAGATAATCATGGCAACCTTCCGTTTAAAATTATACAGAAATAAAATAAAAAAAAAACTGGTTTATAATAATTTTAAACTGAAGGTAGTAAACTAATTATTACATAAAATATATTAAATTAGTGAAAATGTAGAAATCTATTTATTAGGTTAGTAAATTATTTGTCATTATAATGAAATTAAAAAGGTAGGGAAGGTATAGCAGCTTGAAGGCTGAGATAGAAAGCGAACTATTTGAAATGCAGAATTTTGCTAATACTAAGAATAGAAGGGGAGTTGATTGAGCAAGTGGATGAGTTTGTATATTTGGGATGTTTATTTAGCAGGGATGGTAGATATGATAAGGATATAGAACGACGAGTGAACGCAGGAAATAGAGTGAATGGGGCTCTACACGCTATTGTGAGGAGTCAGAATGTGTCAACTAAGGCACGTATGGCAATTCATAATGCTGTGTTAGTACCCACTTTAATGTATGGTAGTGAAAGTTGGGTCTGGCAGAAGAAGCATGAGAGTAGAATAAATGCTGTAGAAATGCGTTCCTTAAGGAGTATGCTAGGGCTGAATCTGAATGACAGGGTGAGAAATAGTGTAATAAGAGAAAAGTGTGGTTTGCAAGATGACGTTGTGACAAGGATTAAGAAAGGAATGCTTCGGTGGTTTGGTCACGTAGAAAGAATGAACGAGGAAAGAGTGACAAAGCAAATTTATGTTGCAGAAGTGAACGGCAGGGTCGGGAAGGGACGCCCTAGACGAAGGTTTATCGACCAGATCGGCGATACATTGAAAATGGGCCAGATTAGGAGTACCCTTAACCGACGAGCGTGTATGCGTAGATATATGGATGTGAAAGAGGCGAGAGAGGTGTGTCAGGATCGCGCCAAATGGAAGTCCGTAGTCTCTGCCTACCCCTCTGGGTGACAGGCGTGAGTGTTTATGTTATGTTATGTATGTTATGTTTTGCTAATACTATACTGTGTATGTTATTTTCAGCTGATTCAAAAACGTCGCCTAACTTTGACGGGATAGGCGTGCTAGTTATTTCGCTGGCATTACTTTGCGATGCCATTATCGGCAACGTGCAGGAGAAGGCGATGAAACAATTCCACGCCTCCAACAATGAAGTGGTTTTCTATTCGTATGCTATTGCTTGCTGCTATCTTTTAGTTATAACTGGTACTAGTGGGATCTTCGTAAACGGATTCGCATATTGTTCAAAGGTAATGTAATATTGTATATGAAGTACACATCACTTATCTAAATTACTCTTAGGATTAGGACCATTAATTCTTTTTTTTTTCTGTTAATAAAAGCTATCGAAATGTAATTTGAACTGGATTGTCTTTTATCCTGTACAGCTTTAATAAGAGCTGAACAATTACAAATGCCTCGCCCATGTAGATAACACAAATTACTCACTTTGTAATCATTTCAAATGGCATACATACCTAAATAACCATTGTTATCGTTTTATTAATTATCATTTTAAAAAGCGCAAATATATTATCATTTTAAATAGTGCAAATACCTTTGCTATCCATTAACCACTACCCCCTATAATCCTGATGGTGTCGTAAGAGGCGATAGAGGAAACTGAAAATGGAGATAGGCAGAGATATTCTGATAAAAACTCAAAATTATAAACATTTGCAGCTGCTAATCAACCTGTCGAACATAGCAAAATTATGACCAATCTATTCGCAAGCTCTATGTTTAGCGTTGGACTTTTATAGATTGTTGTGGATGGATAGATGGAAATGCTTAGTTATTTCTGTTTATATAAAACATGATTGCTGTTATTAAATCAAAAAATATAAATCTTGAAATTGCTAGTTGTGAATTTCGAGACCAAGTCGAAGCTAACATTTTCAGTATCTAAGATTTTTTGTTTTATCAATTTCAAGGTAAATAAACCAAATTGCGGTCACAATATAAAGTTAGTAATAATTTAAATTATATAAACCAAATTAAAGTTAGCGTACAATGCAAAAGAAATATCAGTTTAGCAGTCTTATTTTTATTTTGGCACAGTTTTTCATAAAATTCATCAACAACTAGCTTGAGCGTGTACGTATTAAGTGGCATCGAATTTTATGTAAGAGAAAGTAATAGTTTATGGTTTGTTTTACTAATAACATTCTGGAGGATTTCAAAGATTCCAAGATCAACTATATAATAATTCTGAACTAATACAATAAGGCAAAAGTGAAGAAACATTTATACAATGCTTGGCTCGGTCTCGTTTTATTTCTAAAGGGGAAGAATGCTCCTCCTTCTTCTCCAGCGCGAGTCAATAAAGTATACATGTACAATTTTTTTAAATTTCTCAGACGTTGTGCGATGTGGTAATGGCGAAGAGAATTCATCATTCCATTTTGTTCCTTAGGTATTGTAAGAGGCGGATATCGGAAATGTCAAAGGGACTTTGACATTTCCGATGAATGCCAGACTTGGTCTGACGAAAGACCCAGATCGGCGAAAGGGGAGTAGAGTCAATGGTACGAAACGTCTGGTACTGCGATCACTATAACGCCTGTCATGCGTGGCGATATTCGCCTGCAGTATATTGGCTGGAAAATGTACATGCACAAATCTTTAAGGCTCACCACTGCTATTCGATGGTATTTAAATTCCACAGGAACTTATTATTTTTATCGATAATTGATCGTGTCACTACCTTAATATTTTCTATACAACATTCTCTTTGTTATCACGATAGACAATTTTCTAAAAACAGTGTTTTAAAGGGCATTGTAATAAACAAATTATTAAGACCTGGTTTTTTCATGTGTCCATCTGAGACACAAATATTGTCACTTGGTGCTCATAACTCGCGCCGCTATTTATACTTACTCAAAATTAAGAAAAAACGAGGTGCACTAGTTTAGCATTTGCTTGTATTCGAATTCAAGAACTGCTTTTGTATCTTATACCAATCTTTTAGATAATTTATTCTTTTACAGAACGCCGTAACAATGTACACCAACATATTTCTTCTGAGCGTGAGCGGGTACATGGGGCTCCAGGCGGTGTTAACATTGGTGAGAATCTGCGGAGCGACGGTCGCCGTCACCGTTACCACCATGAGGAAAGCCCTTTCCATCGTCATATCGTTCTTGCTTTTCAGCAAGCCATTCGTCTTCCAGTAAGTATACATATAGTTCGGTGGCAGTAACAGAATGTAACAGCGTCGTGGCGTTGTAAGAATATTCACTACCTAATATCATCCTGCGAGTGTCATAAGAGGCGACAGAGGGAAACAAACAAGGAGATGGCAGCAGCGTCTTAAAGACAAACAAAAGTAAAAAAGCTGCGATTGCGAAACCGCTTGCCAAGCGTATCAACTATGGCAAAGGTCTGCCCTATGGGGCAATCTATGGGAGGGCTATGTTCAGTATTGGACTTATGATAGGCTATATTGGTACGTTACAGTAAGAAAATCTATTACTTCATCTCGTGCCGTATTCGTCGTAAGTGCGACTATAGTAAATGACTAAAATATCTTATGACTGGCAGATTTCATTTCATTTAAGCTTTGAAAAAGCAACTGCTTAGTTTAAATCTATCGATCAGTATATAAATAAATGTTTCTTTGTTTGTCAAAATTGCATTCCTACTATTTTTCCGAAAATTTGGTGAGTGGTTGTGTTGCGCGCCTTTGGATTCGTCAATTCGCCCGCCAGGCGTGACGAGAGAAGTGTAATACGTCGTGATTTATTTCGTCAATATGCAAGCATCATCATTCCGAGCAGGTTGGTTGTTAGAGGGAAATGTGATATATATATACATACATATCATATAACACAAAAAACAATTAAATAAATGAAATGCAGTAGTTTAGCATTTGGTTGTATTCGAATTTAAGATCTACCGCCTTTTGTATCTTATACTAATCTGTTAAAAGTAAAAAATAAAGTTACTACTGTAAACTTTACTTCACTTTAGTAAAGTTACAAAGTCAAGGAAACAGAGAGAGAGAGAGAGAGAGAGAGAGACAGACAGAGAGAGAGAGAGAGCCACGTTGAATACACCAGTTCTCGTCCGAATTAGTCGGTCGCGCTGCTCCAATGCATGTTGACGGACTTCACATTTCCTCGACCTATTTTATTCTATACATGCAGGTTGCCTTATGAAAAGTTTTTTTTTTATTTCACCGAGCACATAGTAAATCATTACATAACAATTTCATTTATTTCGGCAAGTTGCTTGCGTAATATAAAATTTACGGCCAGCACATAGCCTTTGAACTATGTAAAGTCGTTAAGTTTTGTTTTACTTTTTAATTTCACTTTTAAATCATTTCAGGTACGTTTGGTCGGGATTGCTAGTCGCACTTGCAATATATTTGAATCATTACAGCAAGAAACATCCGCATTACGTTCCAATGCCCTTACTAATGTGTTGGTATTATGTTCAATCCTTCTATCAGTCCGAATACAGATACCTTAGGATTAAAAGCAAAATATACACTGATACCGTATAGTTCTATTTTTGAAAAGACAATGATCGTTAAGGTGTGAGATTATGAGTCATGTAAGATATATAATTTTTCTTTTTTATTATTTCGCTTTCATTTTTATAGTTTAAATGTAGCTAAAGTAGACACCAACGCTTGCGTCAGTCGTAGCCATAAATCTTGTGAGCGGCATCGATGATATTGCGTATTCGTCTTATGGAAAACTTAATGATGTGTCGAACTATAATCGATAACTTTAATTATTAGTTATGAAAAATTAAAATTAGTTTTTATGTTTCAAAAGTAATTTATTAATTGCTTTATTCATATTACAAGATTTTAGTTATATTACAATTTTATATAGTTATATCAGGCCGCGGAGTGAAGGCCTCCTACAAAGGACTAATTACGTGAGAATGTCGCGCGCGCGCTCGAGCTGACACGGGCCTTACTTAAGTATTTTTCTCTTATAAGTATTTAGGCTCTTGATATTTATTTTTGAGTTTTTTCCCGACCACTGCTTCGCAGTTTTCGATTTTTTCGCGTATAATGCCAATGACCTTAAAAAATTGTTCAGTGTAAGTAGACCTCCCAGTACTAGTGACTAAAAAGAATGTGAAACAGACAAGTGACGGCTTCGTGGCGCAGTGGCTTAGCAATGAGTTGCAACGCTAAGGGCCGCGGATTTGAATCCCGCACGGAACAAGTATTTGTATGGCTATGTTTGTCCTTGTAAAATCTATGCATGTAAACTGCTCCCGCGATACAGGAGGAAATCCTAGTGTGGAGGTAACTTTTTTTTTTAAAAAGAGAGGAAGAGAGACATTTAACCCTACGATGGTAACATAATTTAAATGAACACGCATAGTAACAGCGGTATCATGTCACCCATGATAATAAAATGATTAAAAAACTTTTGTTTAATGAAAAATAAAACTTTTTATTCTTGAAACAAACTAAAAGAACACTCTTCTTTAGATCAATCAGTAACTAAATGAAATTAGATTAAAAAAAATGTTTTTGGCAACTTAAACACAATTGGGACAAATTTCCACACGATGTTGAGGGCACGCAAGTCTTTTGCATTTTGAACAAAATATCTTCACTTTTTTGTCATTCTTTCGAGGACACAATGCACATCGAGCTTGCTTTTGCAATTTGGCGGGGGGTTCACTTGCTGGAACGTCTTCGGGGACATTTAAAATGGTCCTTATACATATTTCTAGATAGAGAATCATAGAGTTAAACCCTGCTTGATGTAACATACCAAAGAAAAACCTAATAGGCCAGCGTCGAGTACCCCTAGCAGTCGTGTAATTGTGCATCATTTTGTCAAAGGTATCGACGCCTCCATTTGTCATTTTACGGTGGCAGTAGCTCCCTCTACTGCCATCGTAAAATCACCAGCCTCAAATAAAAGTGCCAGTTCCATAGTGAGAACACGACCTTTTTCTGCTGCTCCGGATAATAATGCACGTGGTTTTTGTGGCCGAAATATCCGTTGATTTATCGACCAGTACGGTGAATTTATTATTTTTAAGAATGATGTCCAAATAATTTTTGGAAATCACCAATACCATTTTTTACCGTAGATATGCATTTTTTTCGTTTTATGGCAATCTCGAAAGCAATTCTGGAGTCTGGAAAATAAGATTTTAGAACTCTGATGAATGATCCATAACCATAAATGATATGTTGTGCTATTGTGATCAGTTTGTCGATTCTGAAAATAAGTGCTAACGTCTCTCTTAGAAGAGCTCGCTAATGCTTTTCATACGTGTTGGTCGTTTGAAACATGACGTTTTAAATTTGAAATTTCGCAAAAAAGTTTGGTACATTGTAAATTTGGCCTTGTAGGGGCATCATTGACAGAGACAATCCTGTTCTTAAAAGTTTCATCATTTTCCGACTGCCTTCTGTACTTCTGTTTTTATGTGTTTACTTTTTACCCTTTTTTTCGGCGTAGGTGGCCCGTCGTCATTATCACACTCATTTTCAATTAAAATTTTAAAAAAATATTCGTAAAATAGCTTTCACTGATAGATCGTACATAAAGTAAAATAAAGCATTAAATGACAGAACCACGTTAGGTACAGCACAGTAACAATTATTTCGGGGATTCCCCACACATCCTAGAACCTACCCCGAGTAAAGGTGAAGAACCTACTAGAATAAGGAACTAAAGATTTTAAACATTAATTTTTCAGAGAGAAGTTTGAATATAGTTCAATACTGTTAACGATTGACGTTTGTGATCGTGGCGCTTCTACTCTATCTGTGGCAAAAGTACTCTGTGATCTATGGTTCACAAGTAGGTGCGTTCCATTATACGAAATATTTTTTTTGTTTACTTTAGTCAATTACCGTATATTTTAATACGGTAATCAAATAGCTGCCGTATACCGTATTTTTGTTACCTAAGATACCTGCAATTGCCGTATCAAAAACAACGCTGCGGGAAGACAAAAAAATACACAAAAGACAGCAAATAATTTTCAATAAATCGACGCGTGATTGCTCGCGTGGGGTGTTGGGGCACCCTTGTTACCATCCTAGGGTTAATGATATTAAAAATTTTGTACAACCGACTTCAATATTAATACTTATTATAATATGCATTATTAAGGATAACTCAAAAACTAGTAGTTAGATCTTGATCAAATTTATATGGCATATATAAATTATAAGCAACAGCTTTAAAAAAAAAAGAATCATTTCAACCGTTCACCTAAAAAAATTCTGAGGACATAAAAACATAAAAAATACAGTCTTGTCGAGTAACTCCTTCTTTTTTGAAGTCGGTTAAAATGGTAAGTAGGTAAATTATCTGACTTTCAAAGACGTTCACGTTGTTATAATCTTAAATTTTCTCGATGTTGCATATTAACCTTCCTCAAATTGAACAATAATGTTCTTATTAGCAAATTACTAATCATTGCATAAACACCTCGGCGTATTCTATTACCAAGTAATATTAAAGGATTCAATTTGTTTTTCAAACAAAACCTGACCCTACAGTAGGAGCGGCCTTAACAAAGGCGTGGAACGGGCTAAGTGATGCAAGCTCTTGCACACGGATGTAATGTGCATTTTCATTTCATACGCGCGCCGCATTAATGTTTTTTTCGACGATTTAATCGGTAGGCTATTTTAACCAAGGTCGTATCCGAGGCGTGCAAAGCATTATGAACATTAGGAATGTTGAAATTAGGTTTAAACTTGCAAGTTTGCTATCAGAGCGATCCTTCTGTTCTTGTACTATTATTTATTCTATGGTTATATTTTACTACTTTAATAATATACCAATTATAGTTTAAGCATTATTCATTAAATGAACCTTTATGAACAGCGATAAGAATATTAAAAAACAAATAAACTGAAAATAAATTTTTCAGACCACCATGTGATGGTTTCGGGCGTCCGCGCTCTAACTATCGACAATGTTTACTACACGTGGACAAACCTAGTGCTTAATTGTTTAGTGGTTGCGACTGTCATGAACGTTGGCGTCTACTTTATAGAAGTTTTTAAATATTTGTGACTCAAAACTTAATTTAATAATACTCTACTCGTAGTCTTTTCTACATTACTGTATATGGAACAATTGTAAATATACTGGATGTCTTTACTTATTATACAATAGATGAATGCTCAGTCGTTATAAGTTTCATAAAGTATTTCGAAATATTTAATTTTGTTCTGTAGTCAAAATTAAAAAAAAGTAGTTCTTTGAATGTAAAAAAAAATATATTATTTTAAATGGATTAAAACAATTGTATAATAAGTAAATTTTGTACTTGACTGTCTAGGTCATTGAAATACTTTTTATAATTTGTCGAAACAAACGTTTTTATAGAAATTGTATAAGAATGTAATGTTGTCATACTTCATCTTTTTGTTTTCAGTACTAACTAGCTCTAAGTAGTAGTAGTAAGTAGTTACATGCCCCACAAATCGCCAATGAAAAATTATTATTACGTATTTTTTAATCGTGAGGTCAAAGATTTGGTCGAAAAATGTTTATTTACCCTATTTCTTTTTACAGCAAATCATTGGTTATTAATACACTACTAAAACTATTGAATACATTTATGAATTATTAAAATAAATGAAATAATATGTATATGTTATAAATAATATGTGTATTTTATATGTATGTAACTGGTTTCTCGGAAACGGGTCCTGCGTACGATTTGGGTAAAATTTGGTACTTGGATAATAATAAATTATTTTACCTACACATTTCAGAAAATTATAATTTTTTCTAATTCAGAGCAAAGTTCGGTCACCCAGGAACTATAATATAATACAAACCACATACAGCTTGCAAAGATGATTAGAAGGATAAATAATGAAATAGTATATTTTGCCGTCGTGATTACGCTATGTTTGACCGCACATTGACCCCGAGCGAGTTATGTTTGTAGTTCCGCCGTCCGCCGTGCTACAGCGTCGCCGTCTCCACGCGGGACGGGAGGATGAAGTCGCAAAATTTTCTGACTCAAATACCCACTCTTAACGGATGAAAATGTATTTTGAATCTAAAGTAATAATATGTAAATTAATTGTAAATTTAAATATATTGCGGACGGGTTAATGGGACGTTTGGGGAAATATTTTCCAGAGTTAAAAATACTTTATTTTAACATTTCACTCCCTTGCTTTTAATTAAAATCATCATGTGTATTTATGACCAAACCCAAATACTCTTTTTCTTGTGATGGAATTAAAATACTCTTTTTCACTATAAAATCCAAAACACTGGTCTAAGTTTCCAATTTTAGGAACGTTATCAATTAACCCTAGGTCGGTCGCGCTAGTTTTTGTAACTTCGTCGGTCGCATGTTTTTATTTATAATTGCTTCGTACATTCTCATTTATTATTTATATACTAGCTGTTGCTCGCGACTTCGCCCGCATGGAATTATGATTGGATTTTATGGGTTTTAACTTTTTTTGCACGGAACCCTATTTCCTTTTCTAAAATAAAATCCCGTCAAAATCGGTCCAGCCACTTCGGAGATTAG